CCCCCAAAAAAAATTGTTGGTTTTTTTTTTTTTTTGCTTGAGGGGGTGGGGCTGGGGTTGCGCCGCCCCATGGCGCTTCCCGAATCCCCAACCCCCCTCCCCAACAGCCGCCACACGTCCGCGAAGTCGCAGGGCCGCGCGAACGCGCCTGAGGGGTCGCGGACTCGGCCGCGCTCGTCCGCCGCAGGGGGGGATTCGTAGCTCACCGCCCCTTCACATGTCGGCCGTGTCCCTGCAGCAACTGACCCTGCTCCCCACGACACCCCTCCCGACTCAATAACCCTTTGACCTGTCAATTGCTCGAACATGTCGGCCATCTCCATAGACCTCCCAAATTCCCAATGTGCCCCGATACCACCGAGGGCACTGGCGGACTAACAGGCACGAAAGAAGATGAAGGCACGGCCTTCCAAAGCCGCTGCGATATATGCCTGCTCGTGCCCATCAGCGGATCAATCCCGGCAGTGTGGCGCTCGAGCGGGGACATTGTGGACACTCGTGCCTCAACGGCGGCAGCGACAACTGCCCCATCCACCTGTCGCCCCTCCTTAATGCGATGTGCAACCACATCATCCACCGCGACAAGGTCATCCTTTGTGTGATCTGCAACCACATTCTCGTTGCGATCGCCAAACATATCCTCCATTGCGGCACCGCCGACAACTACTCTATCCACCTGCCCGTCCACATTCGTGCGATCGCACCCAAGCAACCCCGCTGCGTCTACCGTGGCCACACCGTCGGCCCCGCCCCCCTCATTAATAGTGTGGAGTCGCGTGTCGTCATGGCCACATATGTCACCTAACCCTACCCCTCGTGCCCTTCTCGTTCCCGTTCGCACGATCGACCTCGTGTCCCTCCGCATGGAATCCTCCACCATTTGCAGCATCTGCAGGACCACCGTGTGTACACTCTGCTGCTAATTGGGCGACGGTGACCTCCTCCACAGTACACCCCATCTCCCTTGCCCTCATTGTGTCCTGCTCCAACGCAAGCTGCTGTGTCGTGGCACACCCTGATCCCATCAGTCTCAGCCGCTCCTCCTCAAGCACGTCCTCAGGGTCCATGTCTAGCCTCCTAGCAACATCTCGATCCGACAACAAAGGCATGATGTCGTTACCACGCTTGCCCTCGTCTCTCTCGCCTGTCGCTCTAGTAGCCTCTCTCAACATCCCCGAATTCGCACCACCAAAAACCGACCCTATGTGGTGTGCGACATCACTGGCCGGTGTCCGAATGCGCACCCCACTCTGCTTGGAATCTGAAGTGGGTGGACCTCCAACATTGAAGTCGTCCCCAAATATGCCAGAGGGAATCGATCCCTGTGGTACATCTAAACCACATCCCTGCCCGCCTATAACGCGTCCGACCACTTCATCGGGGTCAGGAGTAACAACGCAAGCGCTGCCCGCCCCGTCGTCGCAGGGCCCACCGCCGTCGCCGTCGTCGAACCCATGCTCGTCCACTGGATCGGGGTGCTCTCGATCAACCATACACTCGTTGTCGAAGTCCACATCATCGGCGACATCTCCGTCGTCACATCTGCCATCCTCGCTTGACGATCGCACAACCTATGATCGGTTGCGTCCTCTCGCAGCCACCGTCTTTTCCCTCGTCAAACGAGGGTTCATACGAGCGGGCTCTCAATGGCTCTTTCGATCCTGTGACCGCATGTCACTGTCAGCCCCATGATCACTCTCCCCACCGGAGTCCTCACCAGCGTCAGCTGTGTCACTGCATCCCTGCTCCAAATCCTCGGGGTCCGTCCACGCCTCTGCCTCCATCTCGTCCGCTGCCTGTGGGTCAGTGGGTGGCTCGTACTTGATCTCCTCATTGTACAGCTCGATATGAGCTGCACGATGACCAAACACAGTCTCAACTGAAGGGGGGTGGTGGACCGTCGAGGCACGCTGCATCTTGCGCGCCTGGCGCCTGATCTCCTCGTCCGTCAGTGACCCCGGCGGCAGAGTATCTAATCTGCGCGGCTCCGGTACATCGTCCAACCCCTCCTCGAGATCACCCCACGGTAGGACAAGTCCCCTCCTCCTCTGTCTACACGCCAGGAGTTTCTTGTTCGTGCACATCTCCACCATGTCAGTCAGCTTCGTGAAGTCCAACCCGTTGGGGCGGTTCTCGTGGATACGCTCGTGCAACGCCCAGTTCCTCTCCGCAGGAGAGGTGCGGACCCACGCGTACATCAGACGTGTGGCGATGGTACAAAGCTTAGGGGCACACCCGCCGTGCAAAACCCACCAATCAGCAATGGCTTGTGTCTCCTCCGACCCCTCAAACGTATCCTCGTCCCCCGTCCCTGCATCTCCACCCCAATCATACCTCGGCCCGCGTGCATGGAAGTCGTACAACTACTGACGGGCGAACATGTACCTCTCTCCCCGTCGGTCGAAGCCCATCTATATGTAGTGTACTCTAGTGGCATCTCAACCACCTTCTTCTGTTGGTCGCTGCGATCCGGAGACTGGAAGTAAACGAAGTTCTGTCTCTTCGGATTGAAAAGATGGACGGCAGCATGGGCGGCCTCCAGCAGATGACATGCCCGGGCGTAACAACCCTGCAGCATGCCAACCCGACGAGGTTTTGCCAATTCCAACTTTCGAATCTCCTCAGCCAACTGGGTCACCCACCGAAAGATGCACGAGATCACCAAACCCCCCTGGTCCAACATCCTCAACAACTGCACGACCGGGGTGAAAACGTCGATGAGATCATCCATCTCCTCCCAAAACAGCCCCCATCGCACCTGCGTACGCACCCAACCAGCCTGCCTGAGCAGCCTCCTCTCCCATGGAAGTCGTGCCCACTCCCCCTCCAACATCATCGTCTCAAGTCGAACCCTGCGGTCGCGCAACCTCTCCATCATGATGTATATAGAGGCGAATTGCGTCTGGCAAGATTACAACAACTCTCGGCCCACTCGTGGTTTGTTTCATGTTTCCCCGCCGCCAGTACAATTGCCCCCCGCATGGTCGGCCCTTGTGTCGCGATCGGTCCTGATGCTATAAATCCTGAACAACGCGAGAACCGATCCGTGAGATCTAATGAATTGGACAACCGCCGTCACCCTCGTCAGCAACTCGATGGCCTGTGTCTTATCCTTGACTATGTTTGACAAGATCAAGTTGCAGCAATGGACAAAACAAGGGAGCCAAGGTATGCGACGAATATCTGGATCGGGATGGTCGCGCAGCACTCGACCGACGGCGACATAAACTGATGAAGAGTCTGTGCATATGGCGTTGATCTTCTTCACACCAAACTTTTCGAACACCTTCTTCCAACGCTGCAAGACAACGTTTGCCGTCTCTACGTCAACCCCTTCCCTGCGCACCGTCGTGAAAAGGAAGGCCCCCGACTGTATCGCTGCCAGGAAGTTCACGATGGGCTGAGAGTTCCGGGACTTCTTCCCATCCGTGAGGATGGTAGCCCCTGTATGCTGCATCTGCTCGCAAATGTCACGTAGCTTATCAGCTATGTCCGCATGCTCCTCCTGTATGCCATTGCCTGCTATGCGCTTGAATTGGGGCAAAGTAGGCTTCATGCCCCTGGGTATTTTCTACGGATGTTGTGAGAGGGCCATGTACTCGGCCATCCTCGCCCTCTCCAATGGGACACCGCCATATATACCACCACTGCAGGAAGAGATGGTCGAAGGTGGTCTGCCACTCCGGGTCGTACACCTCATCCAACCTGACCTGCTTCAAGCGTTTCTGGTCTGGAACGCTTGCAGTAGGGGCAGTGTCCGCCCTCCTCTTCCCACGGCCATCCATAGTCACACGAGGTCTTGTGTGATGAGTTGCGCGTCCCCCCTTCACTGTTCCCCCTGCAGGGATGCTCCTAACTCCTGCACATCGTCGTCATCGCCGCCCCCCTCTTCTCCCTCGCCCTCTGGCCCATGGCAAGCAGACCCCAGCCCTGCGCCCGCCTGATCATCCTCGTCGCCTTGCTTTCTTCCCTCGCCATCCGCCCCGTCTCTGTCCAAAACATCCTGCACCTCGTCCTCAGCCGCACATCCAACTCCCACTTCTCTCCTATTCGGGATGCCACGGTACTCCATGTAGTCCCACACCTGTCGCTCTCGCCGCTGGTCGAAGGGGTACCTTGTTGAATTTCAAATGTCGACCAGAATCTCCGGTGTCACCCTCGAGCACCTCCCCTTAGTGAAGTGTTCGGCCCCCCCCATCCGACTACCCTAAAAAGCTGGTTTGTTGCAAAAATTACACTTCATCTTGAAGTTGCCCTTGCAACTCTCAAGTGTCTGACCATTCGTCAGGTACTTGTAAACACAACATCGGCCAATTGCCTCGCGCTGGTCGTCATCGCTGGCAGGCTTGCAGGGTTCTTTGGCGCCCTCCCCTTCCTCTTCCTCCTAGCCATGTTGTCGTTCACTGCATTCAGCACCGTCCAACACGGTCATAATAAGCACGTCGCGTTGCTACCTACGAAACACCCGCGGACGCGTCCGCAGGGTCGAGCTCAGAGGGCGGCCACATATATAGCCACGTCCGCAGCTGGTCTCGTCCGCGCCGCAGATGTGAATTTATCATATTTTAATAAGCCAAAAAAAAAAAGGGGGGGG